ATGCTGCTCATTCTTCCTATATTTCCAAAACTATCAACATAAATACAGAGTTCTGGCATGAAACTCTGATAGCGCAGTCCGATAGGTCTAACTCAATCTGACGTAATGATATCATTATCACATGGCACAGCTGATTGGTTCTCTTCTGTATTGGTAGCCAATGAGCTCGCTGCTCAACATTCAAATATATGACTAGAGCTTGCCGTAGCAGTGCAGCGTGCTTCAGAACAGCAAATTCAACATCTAAGATAAGTGAATGCTTCGGTAAGTCCTGCCTGTCTTGAGTTTGGGCCTAACGACTCCGAATTCGTCCTAAAACCAAGACATGGGTACGTTCCAAAGGTGCTCTACAACCCGTTTAGAGCACAGGTTATTACTCTCTCTGCGCTTCCTCCTTCTGAGGAGGACCAGGAGTTAAATTTTCTCTGCCCGGTTAGGACACTGAAAATTTACATTGGGCGTTACGCCCCGTTCAGGCGGTCGGAACAACTTTTTGTATGCTTTGGTGGCCGCACCAAAGGGTCCCCAGTCACAAAGCAGAGGATTTCTCTATGGTTAGTTGAGCCTGTTAGCCTGGTTTTTCTCCTATTTGACGGACAGACAATACAATACTTCATCACCATGCATAACTACAAATCTCCCACTGTCCCTCTTAATCAGGGTGTGCCACAGGGCTCAGTTCAAGGGCCATTATTATTTATCATTTATATTATGCCCCTCGGACAAATTATTCGCCACTAGGGATGGGTATCGTTAAGTTTTTAACGGTATTACTACTCTTACCGATACTGCTTATCGATTCAGTACTTTAACGGTATTCTTATCGGTACTTTTTGTTTTATATTTCGGTACCCATCCCTATTCGCCACCTTGGTTTTCAGTACCACTGCTATGCCGATGATATTCAGATATATACTTCTTGCCGACCTGACTTTATTCACCAGACTGCTACTCTATTGTCATGTGTCAATGAATTAAAAGGCGTTCGAAACAACTTTTTGTATGCTTTGGTGGCCGCACCAAAGGGTCCCCGGGCACAAAGCAGAGGATTTCTCGATGGTTAGTTGACGCTATAGCGCTAGCATACTCCTCCCTGGGTCTTCAGAGCCCATAGGACTCAGAGCCCATTCCACTCGGGACGTGGCCTCGTCCTGGGCGTGGTCTAGCAGTGTGTCCATAGCAGATATTTGTGTGGCGGCTGGCTGGGCCTCACCGTCCACTTTCACCAGGGTCTATAACTTGGATGTTCCGGCCTTGCAGGCTCGGATTCTATCTGCTTAAATGGATATGCGCCTGCCTAAGGCGGTCTGATTCTTCAGGCATTGCCTGTTTTTTCAGGTACGCTCTTGGCCCTTTCAGTAATGCTGAGGCTGTACAAAACCGTTGGAAAGATTATCCAAGGCTGGGCTGACCTCTGAGTTCAGCCTCTTGCCTCCTGCAGGGCTCACCCTGCATATAATTGGTCCTTCTGAGCCTTTTATGCTCAAGGCCAGTTCATGTCAGTCGTTCCTCTTTCATGACACGGCGGGATTGTATTGGTTCCCCATAGCGTCTAGCAACGCAGTACGAGTGAAGTATCGAAAGGGAACGTACTCGGTTACTTGTGTAACCTCGGTTCCCTGAGATATGGGAACGAGTACTGCGTTCCTTGCTGTGCCATGACGCTGCACGACTCTGTGTCATCGCTTCAGTCGAATTTACCTGAGATCCTATGGCGAAATGCCCACTTATATAGCCAGATGGCCCCACCCATTCTGGCGGGCTTCGGCGCCATAGGCTCGTGCAGCTCTCCTTTTTTATTTACTGCACGAACCAATGGACTGCGTGATTGTAAAGGCTTCAGTCCTCTGAGAAAAAGGAGTTTTTCCACATAGCGTCTAGCGACGCAGTACTCGTTCCCGTATCTCAGGGAACCGAGGTTACATAAGTAACAGAGTACGTTTTCTAGACCTGGGCAGCGTTTCCCAAAAGCATAGTAAGCCTTTACATAAGTTGATCGTAGCTTTATTGGTTTCAATGGGTCTACGATGTACTTAAGCTTATGATGCTTCTGGGAAACGCAGCTCTGGAAAAGTAATTGAAATTAATTAACCTAATCTTGAAACCACATGGGCATTTTTATAATGAATATATATATTTGGCTAGTTATGCAAAGCTCTAAAATATTTTACTATTCATTCTGTCTAATATAAAGAATTTAAATAAAATAATGTAAAAATTGTGGGTAAAAAGGTTTAAAATATTCTTATCCAGTAAATCAGGAACAAAATTCATTGGTTAAAATTAAATTCATTGGTTAAAGTTAGTGGGAACCATGAATAACTCTGAGCTCTTAAAACTTTTTTAAACTAAATTATTTTATTTATATAAAAAAGACTTAAATCCTTTATGTATAATGCATTATAAAGGTATTCATAATATATGTTGTAATGTATTATATCTTGTCATAATTATTTGTAATAATTAATGCCTTAAAACTACTTTTATAATGCATTATATTTAAAGGCTTTAAGTGAAGTGTTACCAAAAATGTAATAAGAAATATGCAATGTAAAATGTAGTAGAGTCTTAAAATACTTGTAGTAATATAGGGTAAATTATGTATGTAAAATTATTATAATATTAATGTTTTATATTTCTTAATTGCTTTTAATTCAATTAAGGTCGTTAATTTCACAGTCTATTATCTTTGTCTTGTATCTTGTATCTTTTTGTCCAATTGTCAAATAAGTTTGTTTCTTCAAATCAAAGTTTGTAAAACCTCACCTGAATTTCTGCTGTAAATGCTGTAAGACCACAGACAACGACTGATGACTGGAATCCAGCTGAGACTGAAAGAGCAAGAACAAGACAGAAATGATTGCTAAAATGGTGTTGAATGATGGAATTTTATACAGTGCCGTGTTTTTGTATTTCTATATTGTTATTTGGATTTTAGTTAAAGGTTTAGTAATTTGGTTGTGTTCAAGCCAGAGTTTGTAACGCTGTGATTGTCCTTGTAGTGGGGTGATTTGGGTCATGGTTTGTAATGTTTTAACACTTTTTTCAAAGTTCATATGGGGAAAATTAATAGAAAAATACTTCCGGAACTTCCAGAAAGTGTGCGGCAATAATGTACTAAACACTCTGTTCAGCTGTCTTATTTTAATATTATTATTGTTATTATTAATATTATTATGGCACTTAATGCATGTACTTCAACACTTTAACCCTAAAAGGGGCAACATATCCTGAGTAGGGTTGCAAAAGGGTGGAAAATTTCCGGTAAATTTCCGGAAACTTTCCAAAAATCCCTGGAATATTCCAAAAAAAATCCTGGAACATTTCCAAAATTTTTGGAATGTTTCCGAAATTTACTGGACATTTTCCACCTTTTTGCAACCCTAATCCTGAGGGATTCAAACATTTGAGAAACTGTGGGGAGAAGCAGGGAACGTGTAGGTCTTATTTCTTGGTTTCATGTTGAAAGGGTGTTTGTTGTGAATATTTAGATGAGGTGACTAGTTTCTCCATTCTTTGTTTAGCTCACAGGCAGCATTTAAAACTGCTTGGACTTACCTGTTTAAAAAGCTGTTGTTCAGCATTAGCTTATTAGGTTAACATTTATATATTATAAATTAAATGCTTAGGGCCTACATTTTTTGTAGTCTGTCTCTAAACGTTTGTATCTCAGGGAATACATCACACTTTTAGGGGTATAAATCAAGATATAAAAAGTAAAACATATACAGTATATAGACTGTGATTTTGTGGCTTGTGTTTTACATTTACATTTTACATTTAGTCATTTTGCAGACGCTTTTATCCAAAGTGACTTACAATTTGGGGATACATAAAGCGATTCTTCTTAAAGAGGCAAACAGATACAGGAAGTGCTTGTAATACCAAGTTTCTAGACATTGTTCAAATAAGTACAAGCTAGAAAGAGAAGGAATAAATAAAGAGAGAGAATTTTTTTTTTTTTTTTTTATAATGATGATGAAAGGGTCATAGAAAATCAAGTTAAATCAAAGTTTTAGAAAATCAAATCTTTTTGTAATCTTGACAAAACATTGTTGGAAAGGTCTGACTGTCAAGGTTCCATATTTGCTGACTGTTTTGTAATAGAAGTGATATTGTGATAGAAAATGACTGATTTGTGACAGAAAACTGCATCAAATAATTAAATAGAATTTGGGTTTAACCCAGAGGTTATGTTTGGTATAGTGCCCAAACAAAATCTCACAGGAACCACAACTTTTGTGATATCAACTTCAAATTTGGAACATAACTTGGTTAGACATATGGCTTTGATTTTATAGCAATTTTAGAGTGCAACATATTTTATAAAATATTTATTTTATATAAAATAAAATAAATATAGTATTCTCCATTATCTTTATTGTAAACGTAAACTTTTATAACTTTTTGATACTTTATTTTTTTTAAATGCTTTCACTTCAGCAATAAACTGCTATGTGTCTTCTTTAAAAGAGACCAACGATAGGTCTGTATTCCAAAGTGTTCAGGAATTACAACCATGTTGTAACAAGCATTGATAAACAAGTGTTCTGTTTCCAGTGAATTTATACCCCAAAGGTGCGACGTATGGGGATACAAACATTAAAATTATAATAATAGTAGTCAAGTTTTGAAAAAAAAAAATGAAATTGTATTATTTCAGTCCCAATAAGATGGAAAATAGCAATACATTTTACAGTATATCTCTCTCTCTCTCTCTCTGTGTGTGTGTGTGTGTGTGTGTGTGAATTTTAATACATTTTGAAAATATGATTTATTAAATAAAATCAAATAAGAGCAAGTACTTAATAATAAAGTGCACCATTATTCGTTTTTTGAGTGTAGCAGTTTTTTTGTAAGAGCTAAATCACAAAATACGTATGAAAGAACCATCTGGAAACCTCTGATCCTGAAACCAGCCAGGTCATCTTGTTTTCCAAGGGTGAATAAATGAGAAAACCTGTAACTTCCTGCATGAGTTCCTGTGGCTCTGGTCTCAGGTGATGTGTGTGTTAGCGCTGGCTGTGTGTGAGGCGTATGTGTTTCAGGCCGGTCAGTCAACAGGTGAGGTGGACGACACTCCTCCACAGATCAGAGGTCAGTCCGTCTCTGCGCGTCTGTATTAATTTATTTATGTGTGTGTTTATCACATCAGACTAAGGTGTGTGTGTGTCTGTGTGTGGTCAGATTTCTCTGGCTCCTGTAAGGGCCGTTGTTTCGAGCTGAAGGAGGCGGAGCCACCCAGCTGCAGGTGTGATAATCTGTGCAAGACGTACCTGAGCTGCTGCTCCGACTTCGACGAGCAGTGCCTCAAGACAGGTGAGAACACACACACACACACGCATGCACGCATGCGCACACACACACACACACACACACTCACACTCACACTCTCACACACACACACGCACACCAACGACCAGAGCTGGCTAGTCACAGATTACATGAGATCTGGATACATAACACATTGAGATGCTCTAAATAATTCGTTTTCAATATTTCTATTTGCATTTTAACTGTAAAGTTTTAGTAATTTTGTTGTTTTTGTCGTTTTTACTAGTTTTTTAAAATGTCTAGTTTATTCATTTTTATTTCAAATTTAGTTTTTGTTATTTAGATCATCAAGTTAAACTAAATGAAAACTAGAAATATAAGGGTTTTTTTAATAGTTTATTTTATTGCAAATAACTATTGCAAGTTTGTTTTACAATAGTTTTATTTGTAGTTGTAATTTTTGTTAAAGGGGTCATATGATGCGATTTCAAGTTTTCCTTTCTCTTTGGAGTGTTACAAGCTCTTGGTGCATAAAGAAGATCTGTAAAGTTGCAAAGACTAAAGTCTCAAATCCAAA